GCGGAGTTTTTTTCCTTTTTTTGCCGACTCCCTGAATAACCCCAGAACGTTACATGAGTCGCTACGCAGCGAATTTTCGACCGCTCGCGACTGAAAAAAGCGGGAAATCTCGATTCAAATCCATGTACCCGATTTTACCCCCGTGTGTAAGAAACGAAAGCTCAAAAACAAAACTGCAAAAAGGTACAAGAAAACATACTACGTCCGCAATTTTTGTAATTAGAACAACAATAAAAAAAATCCAGATTACTTTGTTTATTGAGATAACATTTTTTCCAGGACACTTGTATGATCAAGCATGATCAGAATTTTTAAACCAGATGCCATTTATTTGTGTTAATAAGATTATTTTTGATCAAATTCAGACAGTCAGACCTTTTAAAGTGCAATGACCATCGGATTTCTACTTTTAACTTCATATTTTTGTCCAGATTTATTATATTTAAAACAGGCCTGCGCGGCAACAAATTGCCGATTGCCGAAATTGCCGAATTTTTGTTACCGATTTGCCGAAATCGGCAACGAAGAAAAAGTTGCCGAATTGCCGAAAAAATTTTGTTGCCGCACAGGCCTGATTTAAAACTGTTAGAAAAACTGCGAATCAACAAACTCCTAATTTTAAAGACTACCGCGAGAAGAACGACCACAGATGATAATTCTGAATTAGATCTGAGTTTATTCTGAATTAGATCTGAGTTTATTCGGAATTAGATCTGAGTTTATTCGGAATTAGATCTGAGTTCATTCATATCTAGACGTGGCAAGATCTAATACAGAATTTAGCTGATCTAATTCCGAACGAACACCGAATGAATTACGAACGAATTAGATCTAATTCCGAATATACCATCGTAATGCGCGCTTTTCAATCTGAATCATTAATGCGAACTTTTTTTTCTGTCTTCTATCTATATATAGAAGTCGAAGCATTCATCTCGTCCCGGTGGCCGTGACCAACGGTCCCCCAAAAACAACTATCGTAACCTGAAAATATGTTCAAGTTAGAATGAAATTTGCGTTTAGATGCACGGGATGTTCGGCAAACACTATTTTTATTATTGTTGTCTGAAAAATAGAAGGTTAGAGAGTATTTCTTGGACATCGATAATAAAAATAATACAATTTTTTACGAATACAGAAAATATTAATAGAACAAAAGAACTGTTGAAAGTATAAAAGTACTTTGAATGAAACGAAAAGGTCATTCTGCTATTTTCCGAGCATTCATCTAGAAAATTGATCACAAGATGTAGTTTATAAAATATAAACCTTTTTTATTCATTTTGGAAAATATATTTTGTGGTTTCTATTCCTGCCTTGAAATTTTATGAAAAATATTTCAAGCAAAACTAAAAAAATGGAACGGCCTATAAATTAAATGAAAAATGAAAGATCATTTTCCAAATTGTAAAACCAAAAATTTGACTGGGTGAATGCAAATACTTTAAAAATAGTTTATTTAAAAAAAACGAATGGCAATCACAAAATTGAGATTCTTAATCGAAGTATAAATTGTGACAAGTTATATAATAGCATTTTTCAGTTCTGGTTAGATTTTCTGTTTGGAGCTCCCCGCTTTTTCTTCAAAATTGACGATCTTTTCAGTTTGCATGCTTTGGCGCAAGGCATCACATTTTTCGAAGTTGATGGATCATCCAAGTGTTCGTAAATTTTATTATTCATCTGCAAAATAATAAATGCGTTTCATTCTGATTTTCGCGAATCTAGATACCTCAAAATCTCGAATACATCCATCGAATCCTGGAGTTGTCAGTCCGAACTGCCTTCTGTGTCTTGAAATGACACCACCCACATAAACTCGTTTCTTCATCACTTTCGGAGTAGGACAGTCATTCATCTCAACTGCTTCTAATGAATCAATTCGAAGCTTCAACGACCTATTCTTCTTCTCAATCATCACATCGTGCCATTGTCCATCATTTAGACGACGTCCCAAATGTTTCAGAATTTTCGGCTGTTTGTGTCCCTTGATCTCGAGAGTCGCGAATCCATCAATCAAATCCAAGAAGATGTAACGAGTGTAGTTTTTGTAGTTTGCCCAGACCCAAATCATTCCATTTGAAGATTCAGTTTGCAGAGACAGTTTTATAGTGAAGCTACAAAAAAGATATCTGGATTGAGAGCCAATGTCTTGAGAACTTACTCTGTGATGTTCGGATATGGAGCTTCGAAATTAATTCGACTGTGAGAAGATTTCGAAAGCCCATATCTGACGGCTCCTCGAAGTGATCCAATCGAAGTTTCACAAGTTTTCTCTCCCTGGTTTTGTTCTTCTTCCCCATCGCGATTCATAACTAAGTGAGAGGATTGTGTTGATACTTCTGAAAATATGACGTTGAAATGGGACCCATAAATTTTCTCACCATAATAGTTCCGATTCATTGCTTCGAAGCTAAGTTTTGAAGACTTCCTGTGACCATTGTGTCCATCTCCATCTATTGGATCATCCATCGGGGACATTTTATGATTCTCATCCTTTGAACACATTCCAACTTGAGCATTATGTTTCTCCGGAGTTAATGAAACCGGTTGAAGATTCAAGAGAACATCAGAAATGCATCCAATGAAGAATGACGAAATTGGAATTTCGTCATTTGGTGGTTTAAGATCATCACTGAATCCACCAAGAACCAAAAGTCCTGAAGAAGTGCCAACTGAAGATTCGTCGGAAAGTGTTTGACTCTCTCCGATTTCTTTGTCGTCTACATATACCGAAATTCTGAAAAATAAAACAATGAACAAAGAGAAAGTTGTCTTGTGTTTTTCAGCTTACGTTTTTCCGTTTCTTGACATGAAAACAGCGTGGACTTGTCCATCATTGTATGGATGAGTTGATCGGAAAGTGACGACTTCTTTTCTCGATGAAGCATCTTTTCCGAAATGAAGAACTAGGTATCCACGGAATAAATAGAATGCCATGTATCCTTTTCCATCTGATTCGACATCCCTCTTTGATACTTTTTGAAGTTTTGATGACTGATAAATGAGTGTTCCATTTTCTTCTCGAGTTCGGAAGGAGAATGAGAATGTTGAGCTATTATCAATCGAAATTCCCTTTGCAATGAGATATCCTGGTTTCGGGAATCCAATGATTTTATCAGTAGATCTATTACTGAACGAACATCCTTCAGATTTTCCTTGTGATTGCTCAGGATGATCCAAGTCGAGTTCTCCAACTTGAGAAGGCTTCACAGTTAGAATACATCCAATGAATCCATTCCAATTGATGGAGTAGTCAGAAAATACTTCTTTGTTCAGAGTCATTGGAACGCCAGCCACGTAATGCTGCTCATTGTCAATGTTCAATGCAGTGTTCTCTCCAGTTATCACTGTATTGAATCTATCGGCATCTGAATCCACTTGAAGATACATTTCACTTCCAGTTCTAATTGCCTTCACTGTGTGTTCCTTTCCATCATTATAGATATTTTGGGACGCCAGTTCTGCACTAGATCCTCCTCCCAAATTGATCTTGAATACGACTCTTCCATCATTCAAATAAATTGCAACAAAGTCTGAACTCTTCTCACTTCCACGGAAATACAATAATCCGTTTGGAGAGAATGCATTAAAGACGACTGTGATTGCGGACATGGTTCTCTCAGAAACTGACATCGATACTTCAGCGAATCCATCTCTGAACAAGTACCCTCGTTGAGAAGTTTTCGGTGGGGCAGTGGCTCCTTCGCATTCTCCAGTCGTTGATTCAAACGACCAGAGAGGCAATGGAGTTCCATCGATACGTAATCCACCAACGATTCCATTGAATTTATGAGTGATCAATCCGATTTCAGAAGACGTTGCCTCATCCGTTCCAACATCAATTGTAGTTTCTCCAGGAATAGTGTTGAAGATAGAGCTGCTATCCTTCGAGTTGCCAACAAACACCGATACAGGAGCTCCGCGTGGCTTGAAACCTCCATCATAGCTTTCCTTGAGAGCTACAGTAAGATTTACTGCATTTCCAATTCTCAGAATATCGATGTGATACCAAGTGACTCTGTCATTAGATGGGATATAATTCATCGGATGACTGTTAGTGATCATTTTCTTGTCAGCTCCAATATCCCAATGAACAACAACTCTCTGGTCACGAATCTCAACAGCAACATACTCAGATGCTTGAGTTCTCCTTCCTTTGGTTTTGCTCACAAGCACAACTGCATCAGAAACACGTTGCAAAGGACGGTATGTTATATGGAAAGTATTGACTGGAGATGGAGTTACTGGCGAGATGTACGATCTTTTGCAGAGTCCTCGTTCTCCGGAGTTCAGAGACAGACGGATTTGGTATGCTCTTTCTCTTGTCTGCTCGATTTTGTCTTTGAGTAAAGCAATGTTTCTGGCCATCTTATCAGCTCTTCCTTGATTCGCAGCACTCAATTTTCCAACTTTGTTGAGTTGTTGTGCATTGTACTCCACTCCAGTTCTAGATGCTCTGATCTTCTCCTTATCTTCCTGAACACCACTTGAAGTACTGTTCATCAACTTCTCCACTTCAGCTTTCACGGCGGTGATTTCGGTCTTGATTGCTTCAGATTCCTTTTTCACATTCGCAGATCGTTCATGGGCTGTTTTCGCTCCGTTCTTCAGAACAGAATGCATACGATCGTGTTTATCATCCCAGGACGACGCTTCATTTTTAATCACTCCAAGCCTCTTGATGATATCAATTTTCAATTCGTTCAAATATCCCAATCGATTCTTCAATTCGTTGATTTCCTTCTTCAATTCTTCCTCACTTTCAGTTACACTCTTCGTGTCCACGCCATCAACTGAACTTTCGTTTCTGAGCCTTGCCAACTGACTGGTAAGGCTTTCTTCGTTAGATTCTCCAGATTCTGATCCCAGGATCTTTGATACAGCTTCAGAAGCTTCAGCAGCAGAATCAACAGCTTCTGTTGCATTCTTAAGAGCTTCAAGGATATTCTCATAAGCATGAGATGCCTTCAATGGATTTTCAGTTTCTGTTCTTGTATCCACGAAACGGTCCATAATCTTTTGGGCTTGGATTTCCAGTTCAGCAGCATGTCGGTTGGATGCTTGCACATATTCTTCGTCGTATTCATCGATCAGTTGCGAATAACTGAAAAATTGAATATTTTAAATCTAGATGTTTACTAATATGAAGTGAATATTACCGTAAAACTTGGATTAAAAGGGCCTACTGTTAGAGGAGCTCTTCTATTGATTAGGTCTTTCTAATATAGTTTTTACGGTAACTGTTGGATCCTGGAAGGTCACAAAGTAAAAACTTACAGTAAAGTAATGTTCTGACACTTCTCANCCATTTCCGGAAGTTCCGCCAAAGTCATATTGATCTTTTCCTTATCCTCGACCATATTCATCAATTCTTCGGATCTTGCTTTTTCGATGGAATTTCTCGAGAAGGCGATCTGATCCTCAGCTTCCACTCTCAACTTTTCAATCTCATCCGACACTTCTTTATATCGATCAATTCTCTTTCCAACCACAGAACTCATTCTTTCGGCATCAGCCGTATCTTTCTTCGCCACATCGTATATGGACTCTCTATAATCGTTCATCCACTGTTCCAAAACGTCAATCCGATTCTTGAGATCCTCGAAAATCGTCTCGTTCAACTTCTGAGCAGTTACCAATTTCAACAATTCTTCCGCTTTCTGATGTTCTTGTTGAGCTCTATTATGTCTCTTCTCAATGTATTCTCCTCTCTCAACAGTCGCATTTAAATGAGCTTCTGCTTCCATCAACATTCCATCCAAGGCTGCTCCTCCTACAGTTGTGGCTCCATTTTCCGCAAACATTTTCAGGAAGTTGGTGGTATTGAATGCGTTAGCGTAATAAATTTGAGAATCAAGGATTAGTTTCTCAGCAAGTTCGGTGAATTGTTTGATGGAAATTGCAGATTTATCGGATCTTCCCATTTGGAAATTGACCTCATCCAGTAGTCCAAATGCATCTTTTGCCCATTTACTATCTTTAACAATCTCTCCGTCTTTGTCGATTCCTCCAACAAATGCTGCTAAATCTTGAGATTCGTTTCCAATTCTCCATACTCTTTTCCATGGTATTGGCTTCAATCCCGAGAAGTTCTGACGTCCCAGATGTTCTTCCATATCATCCATTGTAATCATCAATGGAAGATAACATCCTTGATCACAAGAAGTACATACTCTATTGATGAAAGCATGTCTCTCTTGACACATTGAACAAGTTCTTCCAGTGACTCCTGGTTTACATTCACATTGTCCTGTCAGCGGATTGCATGCTCCATGAAGTGAACCATCTGGATGACAATCACAAAGTGTGCATGTGCCACCAATATGTTGTGGATCTCCGTAATATCCAGCCACACAAGTTTCACAGTATTGTCCAGTGTAACCGGGTTTGCAGGCATCACAAATGTATCCTCTTCCATGAGAAACTGGGACGCAGGAATCGCTGAATGAGTTCTCGACGAGAGGACAAGCACACTTTGTACAAGCGTTGGCTCCGCCTTCTCGAGCATCTCCGATGTAACCAGCAAGACAATGCTCACAGAAATCTCCGAAGGTGTTGTTCTCACAATCAGTGCATACACAAGTATCCGGATTACATGTTTGGGAGTGTCCATGACAAGAACATGGTTCACTCCATCCAATCAATGCAAGATCGTCGGCTTGGTTCAAATAATCCCGATGCTTCTTTCTGCAATATCCTTCATCTGGATTCTGGCAAGACAATCCAGAATATCCCTGCGGACATCCGGAACAAGTTTCCACTCCGATCGCTTTGGATGCAGATAGACCAGCAACAATTTTTGATTCAGAAACAGCAACATCTAGGGAAATTTCTTGGATATTGATGGCATCGCCTTCAGCTGGATAGTTGTAACTTCCTCGAACATAAATCCCTTGAACATTTTGAAGAGCAATCATCAACTGTTTTCGGGTTAGAGACAATTCAGGTGAATGCCGGGCACGCCATTCTGATTCATGAATTCTGATCTGAAATAGATTCGTGATATGAATTGTTTAGTATGTTTAGAATTCCTACCTTATAAATTCCATCGTCATTGATTTCGTTTGGAATATGTTCCAATTCAATTCTATTATTTCCAACAATGATGACTTGTGGGAAGTATCGGAAATATCGTTGATCAGGTCGGACTCCATGAAGTCCTCTTCTGTTGTCTTCATTCCAAATTTTGAATCTCAAAAATCCATTGTAACTCGTGGTTCTATCACCAAGCATAGTAGTTGGGAGCGGCCAATAGAGAGGAGTTTCGTCAGTTCGCCAGCTGTTGAAATGGGATGGACTTTGCTGAAAAGGGAAAAAAATAACTAGGTTAGAGTGGATAAATCTCACTTTCAAAATTTTAATGTTGTGCTTCCTTGAGAAAACTTCGGATGGCTCTTGGAATAGTGCTCGTCGGTCTTCAGAATACATTTGTTGCCAAACAAGATTTGATTGTTCACATGTTGATGTTCGATTGAAACAGAAACATTCAGTACATCCTTTTTGATTGGATCCATCCAAACTGATTGTACCTTTAGCACATTGATCACACTTTTGACCACGTACGTTTTCCTGGAAAAGAGTAGTATAATCTCTGATAATGGGGTGTATGCCATAGTTTCTTCTAGAATCATAAGTTTTTGAATCAACTAAACTAGTTCATAGACAAGATCCAGTTTTCCAAATAGCATCCTTTTATAGTACTTGTAGAGTTTCTGTTATATCTAACTCAGTTGATCCAAAAACTATGATCCTACAGAAACTATTTCAAGTATGGTGTATGCATAGAGTAGTATGAAATTAAAGTTTTACCAAATAAAAAAAATACTTACCTTGCAAGGACATTCTCCCATTTCATTGCAAAGGCACTGTCCATCCTTACATTGCAATGAATCAGTTCCAGCTGCATTACATCCACATGGCTCGCAAGTCGGGAAATTGAAGAATCCATGGGTGCAAAGATCGCATTTCAAACCAACATATGCTTCCTTACATTTGCATTGCCCAGTGAGCGTGTTACATTGTCCTCCATCACTTCCAATATCAGAACAATCGCAGAGTTTACATCCTTTCAGTGGATGATAATCCCATGCGTTTGTTGTACAGTTCTCACACATTTCTCCGACTGTATTCGGTGGACAAACACAGCTTCCATCCACAGGATCACAGACTTGACCTGGAGCAGGACATGGCTCACACTCGGTACATCCTTCCTTGGTAAGACCGTAGAAGTTGGGAAGGCATTTATCGCATTTGAGACCAGTGACACCTGGTTTGCAGACACATTGGCCAGTTACCAGATTGCAGGAAACATCTTCAGATCCTGTTGGATCACAACCACAATTCTCGCATCCATCTCCACTGGTGATGTTGAAATATCCATCGGCACACTTTTCACACATTGTTCCTTCGACGTTTTCTCGACATTCACACTTTCCACTAGCTTGATCACATTTTCCATCTTCAATTGATCCATAAATGTTACAGTGACAGAATTGACATCCAGCATCGGTGAAGTTGAAATAGGAAGGTCTACATTGATCACATTGTTTTCCGAATACACCTTGCTTGCAATTACACTGTCCGCTGACTTGGTCACAATCCGTTCCTATGCTTCCGGTCTCGTTGCAATCACACGCTGGACATCCATTATCCACGTCTCCATGATTCTCCTTACATCTATCACACTGGCTTCCAATATAGTTTTCCTTGCATTCACATTCTCCATTCTCTTCATTACATTGGGAGTTCACTGATCCTTGAGTATGACATCCACATGGTTTGCAAGTGTGTTGTTGAGCATTTCCCCAGTGGTTTTCTTTGCACACTTCACAGGAATCTCCAGTCGTATGATGGATGCATTTGAGACATTTTCCACTTTTGGGATCACAATTTCCAATAGCCATTTTATCAATGTTCCCATTGCAAATACATTCCTCACACTCCCCATTAATTGCATCTCCAAAGTATCCATCTGAACACTGCTCACATTTGTTTCCTTCGTGTCCCAATGAACAGTTTGTGCAGACGAAATCATCTTGGTTAGCAGCGGCAACTCCAGCCACGATCAGTTCAGTGAGCATGCATACGTCAGAATGATTGTTGCACTCACACGGCATACAAGATCCCAGCTCTCCTCCGTCCGATGGGTTTCCATAATATCCAGGCTTACAAAGCTCGCATCTGCTTCCAGTGGTGTTGTGTTGGCAGTTGAAACATTCTCCAGTAAATGGATCACAATCATCTGAATGTCCTTCACAGTTACACTTCTCACATCGTCCACCGTACAATTGATTATTCACTCTTCTGTATCCTTTTTTGCATGATTCACAACTGTTTCCAGCAAAATTATCTGGACACTCACATACTTCGACTCCTCTCATCAGAGTATCTTGACTGTGATAACTGAGTCCACTAAGAGAGTTATCCTCTTCAACAATCTCGTCTGGAGCTGGGACAGCAGTATCCAATGATAGTCCAAAGATGCTTGATTGTAATTGTAACTGCTGATACATTGCTCGAACCATAAATTTATCAACATGAGCCAGTGCTCGCATCAGATCCGCTTTATCAACTGTGTTCCTAGTTGCAGTATTATACCATCCATTACCTTCTCGAATTGGAATTGTAACTGTCATATTCTCTCTTGGAAGGAATTCGATTCTTGAGTAATACTCAACCTTAATTCCGTTTCCTTCAATAGAAACATCTGGAACCGGTACTGAAGCACCTTGTTCGGTCGGAACGTAATAGACATAGTAGTGAAGGAATCCTCCATAGCTGTTCAACATATTCCCCTTGAAACTTTCCGGAGCCTTCCAATAATACAAACTACGATCTTGATTTTGATTTGCATTGAACATCAACACTTCTCCATTCTCCACTTCTGGTTTCACATCTTTCCCTCCGGTCAAATCCGTCAAATTCCATCCAACATTATTGGTAATTTGAGCTGTATTCCACTCGGTTTGAGTACAAGTACTTGTCAATCCGAAACAGAAACATGATTGGCAACCAAATTGATTTGAAGCAGAGAGATGAATTGTTCCAGGTTTACATCTATCACAGTAGATTCCCTCAACGTTGGCTTTACATTGACAGCTTGCTCCATCACAAGTATCAAAGTTAACACTTCCAGCACGATTACACGGGCAAGGTTCACAGGTGGGATGGTTACGGTATCCTGGAGCGCATCTTTCACATCTTCTTCCTCCGAATCCAGGTTTACAGATGCAATCTCCTGGTTTTTGTCCGTTTTCTGCGCTTTGATCATCTCGAACGCAAGCATCGGAAACACTTCCAACAGGATCACATTCGCAAGTTCGGCATGCGTCTTCTCTGAACATCGTATCAATGAAACTTGTGTTAAATATTGTAATTCTTACCTATAATGGGACATTCCAGAAGGTCTGTAGTACCCATCTTTGCACCGTTCACAATTGAATCCTTCTGTGTTGTGAGTACAATCCAAACATCTACCACCACCTTCGTAAACACCTTCTGGAGTAATCGACCATTTATTTCTGTCCAATTCCTCATCATAGACACAAGTATGCGCATGGTTGAAACATTGACACTGTTGACAGACATTTGGATGAGAGTTCGTTCCAGGTTTCCATGGAAGTTGATTGAAAAGAGGACAACAACGGTTGCAGGATTCACCACATGTGTTGTGACGACATTCACATTTGAATTGCTGAAAAAATTACAATAAGGTGAGATTTGAGAACGATTCAGGGATGTTCGGAATGACATTTTGCATTTTCGAAAGTTTTCTGCAATGTCGAAAATTTCGGAAATTGAGAATATTCTGAGTTCAAAAATTTCGGAATTCCGGATTTTCGGAATCCCACTTTCCGGTCACGAAGCGCGAAAAATGGACAAACAGATTTTGAAAACGCAAGCGTCTTTGAACATATCGTAGTCCAAAAATCTCAAATTCCGAATGAAACAATCGGAAATATTCCGACCGGAATTTCATTCCGATTTATTTTCAGAAAACTTTTAGATATTCAGAATTTCATTCAGATCATCCCTGAAATGATTGATTAAACTCACTCCTGTCACAGGATCACTGGGACAGCTTTCAGCATGCCCGTAGCAAATACATTGACCTCCAATTGAAATATCGGAAATTGAATAGAAATATCTGAAAAAAAATATTCAAAATTCTAATGATTCTAATTAACCAACCTCATAGTAACTGATTTATCAAGAGAATGTGACTTCTTGTTAATAATCATCAAATCTGCATTGAGTGTTCTTGGAGAAACAAGTCTTAATCTCACGAATCTTGCTCTTGTGAATTTTTGTAGCTCAAGACTCGGCTTCTCGGCTCCAGGTCTTCCATTCACCAATGAAGTGTGAATCTCTCCATTCTCCAATGGTGTGATCTTCGAGTATTCAGACGTACAGTGCACTTCGTCATCTCGCTGGAATCGTGGAACTCCAGTGGTGGCTGGGATTCCGAACTGTCTCATACATTCAGCATCTTGCATGGCAAAATATTGCCATGGTTCGTAATTTTCTCCATCTAACGACTTTTCGAGAACCCATGTACCAGGTCTCGGAGCATTTCCCATTTTGATGATAACATAGGCAACCTGATATTCTTGTCTCAAATCAATAGTGATGTTCACTTTCTCAAAATCTAATCCATTTGCAAGCGAAGGAGATTGCCACCACCGTCTTGTTCCATCAATTGCATACTCAATCGGATGCCTTTTATGAACGTTATTTGCATCACAAATATCACATTGAGGAGATTGAGTATTGGTCGTTTTTCGTAGTAGGACATGTTCTACCAGCTTACAGTATTCTTCTGTTGAGTATTGACCACATGTAGATGTTGACATAATCAATGAATTCGTCGCGAGATTGAAAATATTTGGGAACAGTCCTCGCTCTAAAATTGGTTCAGTTTAATTGAGTAAGACTCCTTTGGAGTTTTGATTTTTTAATTTTGGAGTATTAAAGGGTAGCATACATATGGGGTACACTCCCGTCGAAGGAGTAACAAACCTACCACTTTCAGTGCTGATAAATTCGTGATAGTTGGAGTCTTCAACATAATTCTCCCATATTGACGCGTCGTCTGAAGTATTCCAAGCTGCGAGCACTGCGCTGCTCACAGCTAGAAGACCCAGCAAGAGTCTCATGAGAAGAAATCTGGAATCGAAAACTTTGAATTTGATATCAGTTGAGGAAGGAAATCGTAATAGTCAAGAGGGGCAATCTACGAGAGCATTAGAACCACCTCCTTCTCTTGTTTTCTAATCTTACGCAAACTTTTGGAGCAAAAAGCATCGGTCAAAAGGGTAGGAAGTAGACAAATATTGTGTGAATGACCAGTCAGATATGAGTTAAAAGGAGAAGAGAAGAAGAGAGTACGGTGCGTTGTAATGTGATTAAATGTATTGAGGGTTGGAGGGAAACTTGAAAATATAAGAAAAATACGATAGTTCAGCTTTGTAGGATGGGGAAAGCTTGGAGTCGAGAAATTACAAATTAAAAGTTTGATATACGGCTTTCATGAGGAATTCTGATAAACAAAAAATGTAGAGAAATTGAAACATTCTACAAATACCAGAATACCGCGAAGCCTGTAATAGCAATGCGTACACACTTTCAAGTTTGCCCTCAATCATCTCGATTCCTATGAGAGATATTATAAATATGTCAACTGGTACCTTCTATTATAGGTTTTACGGTAAATAGGAAATAATTTCTAAAAAGAATCAAATTATAAAACTTGTATATTTGAGAACTGTAGAGCATCTCAGCCAAATATCAAGATAGGATTTCTAATATTTTGCTCTAAAATATAGTTGAAACTTCGAAATCGACGGAGAAAATCAGATGAGGAAGAGCTTCGAATAACTAAATCCTTTTCCCAATATTTGAAAAAAAACTGCTTTCGGAGAAATAAGAGATAATGAATACTAATCAAGGATAACAGAATTCAGAATATATGCCAAGTAACTTGAAACTATTATTTTTCCCACAAAAACTACCGTATTTTCTGTAATAGCACCCCAGTCCAACCGTCCACTTCAAGCTCAATTATCTCGGTTCCTGTGAAAGATATTAAAAAGTTGTCAACTGAGAAAATGCTCATCATAATATCAACAATATTTTATCAGTTGGCCACTTTTTGATGTCTTATACAGGAACCGAGATAAAAGGCTCAAAGCTAAAAGTTAGGAGTGGTGTTCTATTAGAGGGTTTACGGTGTATCATTAGTTGAGATGGAGGTTAGCATGATTCGCATTCAGATGCAAAGAACAAGGAATGTGAAAATAATTGTGAACAGAAATTTTGAAAAAAAAACGAAGCTCAGAATACGGCATCAAACGAAGAATATGTCATAATCACAAAGGTATAGTACATTGACCACAATTATACATCGGACGAATGTGTTCCGATGAGAGAAAGGGAATGACCTTCTGCAAATGATTCCGTTATCAACCTCATCATATCTCTTTCCTCTCTTCCCACTCTCGCATTCATTTATGAATCGATAAGAAATATGAGGTAGGAATCGGAGAATCCTATTAGCAATGTGATATCGGAAGAACGGGTCATTTATAGTTACGCAATTCTCGACTATTGACCTCCATATATGGAATCATCTTGCAAAAGTAGCTGGCAATGGAAGAGTGGGAGAGATGGCTAACAATTCTTCTTACCAAGAGGGCCTACCGTTTTGTTATGTTTACCCGTTCATCGTCCTTTCTGCCTCATCATTTATTTGACTAACCTCTATCTCTTCCTCTTTTTCTTCTCGATGTTCGTAGAGAGCAGAAGAAGAGCAGAAGGCAAATATAAAGGAACACAGAATAATGCGAACATAATTTATATAAAAAAACTTTTTAGAAATTGAATAACTACAAGAAGAACAACATTTAGCAAAGTAACAGCAGAGCATGAAAGAGCAGGGATATGGTACACATTAATGAGAACAAGAAAATTTCGAGACTTTAAACAACAAATATCAATGAAAAGGTAAAATTCAAACATTTGGAGGAGGTGGGGGTCCGGGATGGGGATATGGAGGTGTAGTAGGATGACCGCGTTTGCGAGGATTTCGTTGATTTTGGAAGGGCTGTTGATAATAGTAATAATCTTGAGGAGGTGCTCCTACAAAAGCAGGTGAACTCATTGATGGTTGTAGGAGAGGAGGAATGGGTAATCCATATGGTGGTTGAACAGGAACCATATGGGGTTGAATCATGAATTGATAATCAATAATATCCGTTTGAGTTGTTGCTGTTTCTGTTTTTGTTTTAATTCCACTGGATTGTGGTTCTAGGCCATAAAGATATCTTCGAGGCGGATATATTAGAGAAATATTTCTCATTTCATTTGCCAGTTTGTCGAGAACATTCGTATTTGGCTGGAGAAGATTTCCAGTATCTTGGAGGCGGACGACCTGAAAAATACTAATTTTGAAGAAACTAGAAGATCACATCGTATCTCACCTCTTCATGTTGTCTTCTCGCGTTATCTAGTTGTTTTTTGTCCTCGAATCGTCCATACAATGTCAAAAAACTTCCATATGTCGGCAGTTCAGGATGCATTTTTTGGAGAAGAAGTTGAGCTGCCAATTGGGTTGCTTGTTTGACTCCAATAGCTTCAGCTCCAGCTTCCATATCTCCCAATTCAAGAACAACCTTTGACAATTGAGATCCATTACCGACCATCTCTTTTTTGGTTTTTAATTCCATACCGTTCCAACGAACAGCTCGACTTACAGCATCTCTCAAAAGATTGAAAGGTTTGGGAATTGCGAATCGGGTGCACATCGAAACAACACTCGAGCTATCAATTTTCACTTGTTTGAAAAGTTCAGCAGCTTCTTCTTCAAATCCTTTTTGTAGTCGTTCTTCGAGTACTCCATCACAAACATGTTCTTTTGATATTCTCAACTTTGGAATGATTTTCGTGAGTGCGTCTTTTGCAGCAACCAATCGAGCTGTCTTTTTGTTCGCACCAACACCACATCCTATTGAGAAACGTTCTGTAATGAAAAAAATGTGTAATGGGGTTATTCAAGGAGTCGGCAAAAAAGAAAAAAAAAACTCGGAGTGTTCCAATCTGGTTGAAACTTTGGGGAAAATTGGAGAAAACTATAGGAAACATGTTGCCAAAGTTTGGGGTCAAAATATCAACTTTGAAAAT